GCCAGAGGTCAAATGCATAGTACTTACTCTATGTGTTGATACTGTCCCCACAGAAATAAAAAATTTGCACCATATATTATAATAACAACCCCAGGCAACATCAACCTTGCAGCCAAAAAAAAGTCAAAAAGCAAGAGGATTCCAAGTCTGAAATGGTGGTGGACATTGAATATCAATTCATGCAGGGGAAAACAGCATCTTACTCTGACTCAGCCTAAATGGAGTAAGCATGCCTCAGAGGGAGAAATGACCACTCTGCCAAAAACAGAGGGCTACTCTCACCTCCATGCCCCACCTTATCCATTCCCGTGGGCTGGCATACTGATAGGATAGAGATTGGTCTTCCCAGCTCACTAAGCAGTTCAGAAATACATATCAAAAGCCAAGAAGCAAAGACATTAAAACCCTCTGGGGAGTTCAGAGGACTACAAACTGTTTCACATGGATTTATCCTATATGCCCAGGGAAGACACTGAGGGTGGGTTTTAAGCTCCAAAATAATGTGGGAAGATCACTCTGAGGGCAGAAGATGGATTAGGAGGAGGAAAGCTAGAAGCACAAGACCAGGTAGGAGGCTATGCAGTAGGCAGGCGATGAAGGAAATTGGAATTAAGGTAAAAGAATAATAATAGCATCATCATTCCTATTTAAGTTCCTACCATAGACTAGTCTAAATTGTTTTCTTACAATTACATGAGACAGTCTCCCTCCACTATACCAGCAAGACCACCCTTTTATACATGGGACAAATTATACTTAGACACAAGAGGAGAGACATCACCAAAGAATTAGAAGCTTTATTTAATGGACCACAATTTCCCATAGATTTATTCATTCTAAAAATGGTCTAACCAAGTACAGTGGCACACACCTGTAATCCCAGCAGCTCAGAAGGCTGAGGCAGGAAGATTGCATATTCAAAGCCAGCCTCAGCAACTTAGTGAGACCCCTGTCTTTAAAAAAAAAAGAAAATGGAATGGGGATGTAGCTCAGTAGTTGAGTGCTGCTGGGTTCAATCCCTGGTACCCCCCCCCCAAAAAAAAAGGTTTAATGATGTAATTAATAAGTTACACTTGTAAGACTGGAGTTGTGGCTCAGTGGTAGAGCTCTCGCCTAGCATGTGCGAGGCACTAGATTCAATCCTCAGCACCACATAAAAATAAATAAAATAAAGGTATTATGTCTCAGTACAACTTAATATATATATATATATATATATATATATATATATATGTGTGTGTGTGTGTGTGTGTATATATATATTTTAGAGTTATACTTGTACAAAGAAGATAGCATAGCAGGCCTGAGGCAGCCATCTTTAGAAAGGGCAACAGGGTTGGTTCTCGGCTGGTGTCTATACATGTGCCTTTCAGAATGTATGCTCCATTACTAACTGATTAAAATCCTTTTGCTGGGCCCAGGTTGTTTGTACAAACAATGTGATTTATAGTGAACACAGTTGTCCTTCTAGGAGTCTGGAATTTGGGGGTTGCTAGGCAGAGAACCTCTGCGTGATCAGTCCTCAACAAAATCCCTAAAGACAGACAGACTTCTCTGGGCAGAAATATCATGCACATTTTGCATTCACTGCTAGAAGGAGGGTGAGCTCCGTGTGACTTATCACAGAAGGGAGAAAGCACTGAAAACCTGCAAATGGATGTTTCCAGACTCCACTTCCATCTTTTCCCTTACTGAGCCTGCTGTATATATTTACTGTGTCACTGTAATAAATATTAGCTGTGAGTTCAACTGTATTCTTATTCCTTCTTGAGAATCATCACTGTGCAAGTGGTCTTGGGAGACCCCAAAAACCAGACTCTCAGTTTGATTTTGCATATACTTTTTGAGTAGCTCACACACACACACACACACACACACAAAAAAAAAAAAAAACATAAAAAAATACTACCCTAAAAATTTCATGTCCTTGAACAGACCACTATCCATCTAAAATCAAGTAGAACTGGTCTTCATAACTCCTGTCTTTCTGGAGATAATGGAATGGTTGACAAGTTAACTCACCAGCTCTAAATACCCCAAAAAATATTCTTACTACAACTTCCCTTGTGCTCAAAGATAAATATCTTCCACTAAGCAGAATGCAGAGGTTACAGCTCAGGTATTCTTACTGAAAGCCAAGGATTTTTACACTCTGTATCTTAGAGATATCAGCTGTCCATGTGCCATACAGTTGAATATCATCAGCCAATTTCTGGGAAAGGAAGTCATTATTCTAGCATTTGTTCTAGGGTCAATTAGAAGCAGTAATCTTGTCTGAAAGAAATTCAGCTCCAACTCAGCTCACATTAGAGTCTGGCCATCAAAGCAGTTATTTACTTTTCAAAGTGCACTAATCCCATGGAACTGGGCAGAGAGGAGCTGAAGTCACTCTGGTATCTGTCTCTGGATTAATTCACAGTCACCATTCTTAGTTGGGAAACCCCCTGCAATGTGTCAAGACCAGACTAGACAACATCCATCCTTTCCTGACACCTGTATTTACTACTTTAACAGGTAATAAACAATCCCTTGTGCTAGGGAGCCAGGGAGACAAAGATAAATAAGATGCCAGTTGCCTCTAAGGAATGAGCCAGTTTGTAGCTGATTCGTAGGAATTCTCTTACAACCAAGGAAGTCTGCAATCAGCTGGAATTCTGATTCTCCAAGACATATTGCATCCTGCTCAGGAGTCACTAGCAAGCAGAAACTGCCAAGAAGCTTCCATTGAAGACGGCGAACCTCCAAGAAGGAATTGGCAGGACACACAGCATGTAGGTGGGCAACCCACACACACCAGACAACATCCATATATTAGTTAATGCTTGCAAACAATTAGATGGTTATTAGTGAATAATTTCTCCCAGCCATCTACTTCGCTCCACTGTCAACCCCGCCCCTTTCAAGTGTGAGAACGTGAAATAACAGAGATGATTGGCTGTGAAGGGTCACGGCACACATATGACACATGTCACACATATGACCCTGGAATTTTCAATCTGCTGTATCAGCTATATATCCTGACAACCCAGGAAGGTCTTCTTCATATGAAATCTCTCATGCAGAACCACAGCACATGAGCCAAAGAGTGTGGAGCCACTTGGCTGAAGCAGAGAAGAGCCCAGGGTGCCTTCACCCCACGCCCAGACTTCAGCTCTGTGGGCAAAGTTTGAAAGAATGCAAGTAGCAATAGTTAATTCAGTAAGGTGCACATCATGCAAAATATGTAAACCATTCCCATATAAATACACAGCTAAAGGAAATACTAGAGAGCTGTGAGCTTCTCCCAGCAAGCAATGGCATTAATAAGCAGGCTTTTGTGACACGATCTCACACATACACCCATGTATAGAGCCAGGCAGCCCTCAAGAGTTGTTGTCTAGGAAGAGGGCTGGCAATGGCAATCTTCTAAACTGCACAGAGGATTGTTGTGGTAATGACCTTTCCTAATCTCTGATATTCTGAGTTCCTTCCACTTTTAAATTTTTGGCATACTTTATTCTTGGATAAAAAGAAATAAAGAGATAAATTCTCCCCAAAGTGATATTTAAATGTAATGAAGTTCTCATGAAAATCCCTCAGGAGTTTTTACTTGAACCTGATCTAACAGTCATTGTACAGTTCATCTGGAAGAATAGTAAAATACATTTTTAAAAACTGAACAACAGGAATAGAGTACATGAGGTCTTCCTTTACAGTAATGCTCTGACAGTGAAAAGAATAGTGAAGGTTCAGGTATGAAAGAGAAAATCATCAATTGAACAAAAGATAAATCTCTGCAATGAAACTAAATTGCCCAACTTACAATTCATAGGGAGCTGAGGGGGAGCCAGATCCCTACCTTGAATGCTGTGCTAAAAAGAAAGTCCATATAGATTATAGATTTAAACCAAAAAATCAAAACCATAATAGTGCAAGATGAAGATATCCTGGTTATTATTTAAATAGTCTTTGCATAGGAAAAGACTTTAGGCATGATCCTAAAGGTAGAAACCAGAAAAGTAAAAAAAATTGACTACACAATTTTTTATAAAATAGCTAGGCATGGTGGCACATGCTTGTAATCCCAGTGACTTGGGGGGGTGGGGTTGAGGCAGGAGGATTCCAAATTGGAAGCCAGCCTCAGCAACTTATCAAGATGCTGTCTCAAAATTAAAAAATAAAAAAGGGTTGGGGATGTAGCTCAATGGTAGAGCACCTCTGGATTCAATCCCCAGTACAAAAAAAAACAAAAATTTTTTACATAAACTTTTACAAAACATACATAAAGCCAGGTGCGGTGGTGTATGCTTATAATCTCAGTGACTCAGGAGGCTCACAAGTTTAAAGGCAACCTCAGCAACTTAGCAAGGCTCTAAACAGCTTAGTGAGACCCTATCTTAAAAATTAAAATTTAAAAAAAGGGCTGTAGATGTGGCTCAGTGGTTAAGCACTCCTGGGTTCATTTTCCCCGGTTCCACCAAAAAAAAAAAAAAAAAAAAACATAGAGACTACATAAAGTCCTTATCCAAAATGCCTTAGGAAGGATGAAAATTTCCATTAACAAGCCAGAAGAAAAACAAAATCATTTTGAAAAAAATTTGCATACAATCTAACAAAGGATTAATTTTCCTTATAGCTAAAGAAGTTACTAGTCAGTATGAAAAAGAATACAAAAGGGAAAAGGGAGCAAAAGAACAGAAAATCTTTTCATAAAACAAAGAGCCAAGAGAACTATGATATTCATATATAATTATTAATCAAAGATCAACAAAAGAAAGTATTTTTTACTTATCAAAATGAAAAAAAAAATTATATGAAACAATACCCAGTGTCATCATGATCTGCAGAACTAGCACATTATTGCTGTAAACATGATTAAGTTATTTGAGGGAGAGAAAACTTTGTTAAGGGTGAAAAACTGATCCTTTTAAAAAAATGCTATGATAATATTCGATTTTAGAAACATAAGATGCTAGTAAATGCACATCTCGGGTCATTGCTAGGAGTAGTGAGCTGGTTACCTGGAGGACAGTTTGCATCCCTGTTGCAGGTAGGTATTCAGGTTCCCAGTTGCTGCAAGTAAGAGCCCCAAGTATGGAGGGGAAGGCTTCATCGGCCTAGAAGAAAACTCAGGATGGAATTGGACACCGACAAAATAAGGATGATCTGAAATGAGAGCAATCAGGATGTGATTGAAGCAGACAAATATAAGAACTGCTTGAAAGGTCTTCATTGAATAAGAAAACTCATTAAATGCTAAGATGATTTTTTAACTTGTCGTCACAGTTACTTTCATGATCCGTTTCTGGAGTAGAATTCTAAATATAAAGCACATCTCACTTAATTCAGGATTTTATCTGTGGAAGGTGTTAGCAAAACTAAGCGATAGTTTGTGAGTGCCATGATGAATCGTACATTCCCAAAGTCAGCCTGCTTCTAGAAGGCCCTTTGCAGATTTGTGTTGGCTCTGTTTCCATGGTATCCCTCAGACTGCAGGCTAACCCAGGATCATTCTTTTTCTGAGATGGCTTCAGGCCATTTCCTGTAAAGTCTTCTCTGTCCCTGAGGGAAGGGTCCCCAGGGATAAACAAACACAATGCTGACCCAGTGGGCTGCCCCTGGGAAACAACAAGGACAACTGCTTTTCTAGTCACAGCTTTGTTAGGTATTAATCATAACACCATAAAATGGAATTGGTACTCATATTTCAGTCTATGCCAACTTGTCTCTGAGTGATGAAAAGATAGGCTTTCAACATGTTCACAGTAGCTACATCTCAAGGTGGCAAGAGTTCAAGCTCTTTTCTTCTTCCTTATGTGTTTCTATATTGGGTGAACCTTCATGATGAGCATGTGTTACATTATCATGAAGAAAAATTAAGCTATTTTCATATCAAAGGTTATAAGAACCCCCTATATGATGAATTCAAATTCTCCCTCAGGTAATAGGAACAGAAAAGTAGCTTTTCCCAGATATCCAGAATCTTGTTTTAAAATAAAAAGAATTAAAAGGGTGACACTTCCAAATCTGGGTAGAAATTCCATATTCCTCACCACCACCACCAATCACAACTCTATAAAGCTATGTGTACTCCTAGATCATGGAGCACATAGATTGAGCATGTCTCTCTAATCCTATCATTATCATAGTACAGAGCATGGTTATTATGCTGTATTTCCAAATTTGAAAAATAATTGCTATATGTATCAAGCTGAATATAATTAAATAAAATGCTTTATGGGGGAAAGAAAATATCTTCAAAGCTTTCAATAAGATGTTTTATCAAGTGGTCTAAAAATCTAGTACAGAATAAAAATCACCAATTCCTGTCACCCCTAGAGACCCAAAGGTACTGTATAGCAATAAGGAAATGATGATTGAACAAAAAATTTCTACTTCCTAACGTTATCATTTAGCCTACAAAATGGTAGTTTCTAGTAACATGTGGCTATTTGAACTCACTAGAATTAATCGAGCACATTTCAAGTGCTCTGTAGCCACATATGGCTAGTAGCCACCATACTAAACAGGGCAGAATAGTTCTATCGTAGCAGCTCTGATCCCAGAAAAATCCGGTGCAGAAATCCTCTGTATGTAAGAAGCAGCCTCCTTGAATTAGAAGGATACTTAGGTATGAAAGTTTCCTTGTCCCAGGAATTCATCCCTTTAAGAAAAGAAGAGAAATCATCCACACTTAGAGAAGAAATTAAGCAATGTAGCTTTAAATTTAAGTCAGGGTAAATCTTATAGCATAGTCTTGGAAAGAAAGCAGACAGTAATTGTGTTTTTGTGGCGCTAACAGACAGAAGCTCAGAAATGGATCATGTAAAAGCCAGGGATAGAATATCTGAATGAATGAATCATTGTTCTGAATCACTCTATCCAAAAAATTCTCTACACCAATATGAGGAAAGACTAAAAAGTTTTAAATTTTGATGATCCTCTATCAGTCAGATAAAGTAACTTTAAAACAATGTTCTCAGGGGCTGCAAGGTGGAGGGTAGCTTAGTGGTAAAGCACTTGCCTAGCACGAGCAAGGCCCTGGGCTCCATCCCCAGCACGCAAAATCACTACTTTGGCTTTAAGCCAAATTCTTTTGTGGGGGCGGGGAGTGGGGGTACAGTGGTAGTGCTTGGGCCATAACTCAGGGGCACTTGACCACTGAGCCACATCCCCAGCCCTATTTTGTATTTTATTTAGAGACAGGATCTCACTGAGTTGCTTAGCACCTTGCCTTTGCTGAGGCTGCCTTTAAACTCATGATCCTCCTGTCTCAGCTTCCCAAGCCACTAGGATTACAGGTGTTCGCCACTGCACCCGGCCAAATTCTGACATTGTAAGAATCTCAAGCTTTGTTGTTCTTCTTCGAACCCTTTCAGGACAGTGGAGATCCCTGAATGTGCTTCATCTGGGGAATCTTCCTTCATAAAATAAATTTCCTTGCAGTTGGTTTTTAAAAATGGTAAGGTTTTACAGTGGCTCTCATTTTCTTTCCAACCTGCATAAAATTTGAAAGCATTGATGGGAATCTAAATCTTCATGATGAAAGAGGACTCTCAGTATTTGCAGACAATAATGGGAACCCGGTGAATTAAAAGAGAATGAGTAATTGAGCAAAGTAAACAAAGAGTAATTTAAGAAATTCTCTGCCCTCTCACATGCTAGAAGGACTTAAGAGGCTTCCACACCAAACAGTGATCCATGCTTTAATTCTAAATGATGGGCATTTTTAATCAGAAAGATCCCTAGAATATATCCTTACTATTCCAACTCAAAACTCTGGGCAGAGCTGGGCATGGTGGCAGCACACCTATAATCCCAGTTTGGGAGGCTGAGGCAAGAAGATCACAAGTTCAAAGGCAACCTCAGCAACTTAGCAAGGCCCTAAGCAACTTAGTGAGACCCTATCTCAAAATTTTCTTAAAAATTTAAAAAGGGCTGGGGATGTGGCTAAGTGGTTAAGTGACCCTGGGTTCAATCCCTGGTACAAAAAAAAAAAAACTCTAGGCAGAGATTGATAATCTTAGGCTGAGTAGTGAATGAAGATGAAGGTGGAGGCAGTGGAGGCAAGGGCCTGGTCTTACTCCAGCCCCACCAGTGCCTGTGGGCATATTACTTAACCTCTCTTCACTCCAGCCTCCTCTATAAACTGAGACAAGCATCCCTGCTTTGTAAATTACACAGGCATGTGGAGTCCTCAGTAAAGGGTCCAGTAACACACATGTAATGAGTGCATGACTTTCCTTCTTCCAGGGTCCAGGTAAAATGCTACCATGTTCAAAGGAGCCTTCTCTGACATCAGTTCCCCTCCTCTTGGGAATCTTGAAGTACTTGAACAGATTAGAGACAGAAAGGGCAAAGAACAGAAAGGCACTTGATGTAGAGAACAGTGACATGGGCTAAGATGGAGAAAGAAGTAGCAAAGTTACACAGACAGTTTGGGACCTAAAGCATAGAGGTCGAAAGGTAAACTCTAGAGTCTCATGCTACCATTTTTAGAGTATCCCATACATCCTTAGCACTCAATAAATAAGAGAAGTTACTCCAACAAATTAGTGTCAAAGGCACTGCATTTGTCAGAGCCTTGTCCTCCTTATTAGGAGTTACGAGAGAGGAAAGAAACTAGAGGAAGGGAGGGGCTTGAGGACACAGAGCTGGAGTCACCATGCACTGGGACTATGGTGGCACAAATGGAAATGCAATCTCAAACATCATCTTTCTTTCCAGAGACAGACCTACAGGACTCAACAACTGATCACAATTTGTAAAGGGGAAGAAGAACTAATGGTCCAACCAGGGGTAAATGTGCCTCCCAGGGATATTTAACAATGTCTGTATATATTTTAGAATGTCATAAGTAAGAGGGAGGGGAAGAGATCTACTATTGTCATCGAGTTTTAGAGGCCAGGGATGTTGTTAAATCCACTACAACACATAGGACAGCTCAGAAACAAAGGTGATCATGCTTCAAAAGTCCCTGGTGGTCAGCAGAAGAAATTCCAGACAATAAGACACCTTCACAGGAATAGTCAGAGAGGGTGTGAATTTAGTTTTAAATAAGTTGAGATGGAAGTGCCAAGAGAACATCCAGATAGACAAATGGGGCAAGGAGGCACCTGAAAATGTTGAATTCAAGTGTGTTAAATGAAGTGCACCCAGGCAGGTCTACACCAGAGGTTGGCAAATATATCAGTAAATAATAAATATTTGAGGCTATGCAAGCCACAAGGTCTCTTTCCCAACTGCTCATCTCTGCCACTGGCAGACAAAACATTACGAAGGAGTGTGGCTATTGTCAAGACTCAAAAAACCCTACCAAGAAGTACTCTGAATGGAAGGAGATGGGGCGGGCCCAGAAGCAAGAAGGTCACTCTGACCTTCTGGTCATAAAATCTCATAAAATCTCTGCCTCTCTGTTACCTTGTGTGAAAGTAGGTCTGAGACTCTCATTCCAGAAGGATCCTGCCCTACATCTCTTGAGAAGGAATGATACACAGAGAGGCCAAGAAGAATCTGAAGACAGGCCTTAGACCAAAACCTCTTATCCAATCAAATTTGCACAGCTGTCCATGCATCACTGAACCTAAGCATAAAAATAGACAGTTTTCCCTGGACCCTCGGGTCTTTCTTTCTGAAGGTTCCTATGTCATGTACAAGTTTCATTAAATAAATTTGTTATGCTTTTCTCTCATTAACCTTTTGTCAGAGGAGTGTCCACCATGACCCTCACAGTGGGTGAGGAAAAGGTAACACCTTTCTGCCCCATGCTATACTCCAATAAAACTATTTATGGACACTGAAATTGAATGCCACGTAATTATATAATTTTCATGTGTCACAAATATTATTCTTCCATTTCTTCTTTTAGCCCATTAAAAATGTAAAAAAAACATTCTCAGCTCATTAGCCACACAAAATAGTCAGCAGGCTGGATTTGGCCTATGTGGGCTCGAATGTCAAAGAGCCAAGGCCAGCTATGACCATGGGCTTACCATGTCCTTGAAGACCTGAATGTTTTATCAATAATAAATGAATGCTTTGTGCCTGTGTTCTCAGGGGTGGCCCAGCCCAGCAACAAACAATTTCAGTGCTCTTCCACAATAGAAATCCAATCCTTGGCTAGAATTTCAAGGATGATATTGAATAGAAGGGGTGAAAGAGGACATCCTTGTCTTGTTCCAGCTTTTAGCAGGAATGCTTTCAATTTTCAACCCTAACCTTAACCCTAACCGGCCTTGGATTTAACATATATAGCCTTTACAATGTTGAGGTATATTCCTACTATCCCTAGTTTTTCCAGTGTTTTAAACATGAAGATGTGCTGTATTTTGTCAAATACCTTTTCTGCATCGATTGAGATGATCATATGATTCTTGTTTTTAACTCTATTAATATGATGAATTACATTTATTGATTTCCATATGTTGAACCAATCCTGCATCTCTGGGATGGATCTCACTTGATTGTGGTGCACTATCTTTTTAATATGTTTTTATATGTGATTTGCCAGAATTTTATTGAGAATTTTTGCGTCTATGTTCATCAGGGATATTGGGCTGAAGTTTTCTTTCCTTGATGTGTCTTTGTCTGGTTTTGGTATCAGGGTGATACTAGCTTCAAAGGATGAGTTTGGAAGGGTTCTCTGTTCTATTTCATGGTATACTTTGAGGAGAACTGGTGTTAATTTTTCTTTGAAAGTCTTGTAGAACTCAGCTAATAATCCATCGGGTCCTGGTTTTTTCTTGGTTGGTAGGCTTTTTGCTGGGAGCCATTAGCCAAGTAGGTATGACAATTTCCTTGCCAGCGTACCCCATGTTGCAGTGACATTGAATGTAGGTGACCTTGCTCAAGGACCAAGGCGGATTAGGGTGTTCCCGGTTTAAGATAATCGTGTTTAGGGCGTTCCCAGTTTAGGTTCCAGGTTTAAGGTTTAAGATTATTCCTGCTGGGAATAGGGCGTATCCTGCTGCCTGAGTTCCCCTTGAGTTCTCACGGGATTCAGAGTATATTTTGGAGATAGAAGCCCAGTGGAGGTGGATTTGGGCAGAGAACGTGGATTTCCCCAGAACGTGTTGGTAGACGGCTGGTGTGAGTTCGGGAATAAAGAGTTGCTGTTTGAATCTACAAGCTGTGTGGTGGCTCCTGATTGTGTGCCCAGCCAGACTGCGGCATTTGTGCCCAGCCAGACTGCGGCAGCTTTTGATGGCATTTTCTATTTCATTACTTGAAATTGATCTGTTTAAATCATGTATGATGAGGGTCTCCTTTCATATACCTTACACATACCTTATATATATTCAGAGATATGATAAATAATGGTATAATGGTGTATTAAGAATTCTAATACAAAAATAATTTTTTTTAAAAAAAGAATAACCAATGCAAAAATAAATAAATAAAAGTAAATCATGTATGACCTCCTCATTCAGTTTGGGTAGGTCATATGTCTCTAGAAATTTGTCAATTTCTTCTATATTTTCTATTTTATTAGACTATAAATTTTCAAAATAGTTTCTAATTATCTTCTGTATTTCAGATGTGTCCGTTGTGATATTTCCTTCTTCATCTTCTATTTTAGTAATTTGAGTTTTCTTTTTTTCTCTTCATTAGCATGGCCAGGGGTTTATCTATCTTATTTATTTTTTCAAAGAACTAACTTTTTGTTTTGTCAATTTTTTCAATTGTTTCTTTTGTTTTGATTTCATTAATTTCAGCTCTGATTTTAATTATTTCCTGTCTTGTACTGCTTTTGGTGTTGATTTGTTCTTCTTTTTCTAGGGCTTTTAGATGTAGTGTTAGGTCACTTATTTGTTGATTTTTTTATTCTTTTAATGAATGCACTCAATACAATAAAGTTTCCTCTTAGTACTGCCTTCATAGTGTCCCAGAGATTTTGTTATGTCGTATCAGTGTTCTCATTTATCTCTAAGAATTTTTTTATTTAATCCTTGATTTCTTCTACTATCTATTCATCATTTAATTGGATGGATTCAAATTAAAAAGCTTCTTCCCAGCAAAGGAAACAATAATGTGAGGAGAGAAATTTTTTAACATATGCACCTCCAATAAAGCATTAATCTCTAGGATATATAAAGAACTCAAAAAACGTAATACCAAAAAAACAAATAACCCAATCAATAAATGGGCTAAGGAACTGAACAGACACTTCACAGAAGAAGAAATATAATTGATCAACAAATATATGAAAAGGTGTTTAACATCTCTAGTAATTAGAGAAATGCAAATCAAAACTACTCCAAGATTTCATCTCATTCCTGTCAGAATGGCAATCATCAAGAATACAGGCAACAATAAATGCTGGCGAGGATGTGGTGGAAAAGGTACACTCATACATTGCTGGTGAGACTGCAAATTGATGCAACCACTATGGAAAGCAGTATGGAGATTCCTCAGAAAGCTTGAAATGGAAGCACCATTTGACCCAACTATTCCACTCCTCAGTTTAGACCCAAAGGACTTAAAATCAGCATACTACAGTGACACAGCCACATCAATGTTTATAGTAGCTCAATTCACAATAGCTAGACTATGGAACCAACCTAGGTGTTCCTCAACAGATGAATGGATAAAGAAAATGTGGAATTCATACTCAATGGAATATTACTCAGCTTTAAAGAATAGTGAACTCATGGCATTTGCTAGTAAGTGATTAGAGTCGGAGAATATCTGCTAAGTGAAATAAACCAATCTCACAAAACCAAAGACTGGATGTTTTCTCTAATATGCGGATGCTCATTCACAATAGGCGGGGAGGCACTAGAGAAGAATAGCATTACCTAAAATTAGGTAGAAGGAAGTGATGGCAGGGGAGGGGATGTGGGGATAGGAAAGATAGCAGAAGAAACAGATATTGTTACTGTATGTATATTTGTGACTACATGACCAATATGATTCTGCAACATGTACACTCAGAAAAATGAGAAATTATATCCCATCTGTGTATTATATATCAAAGTACATAAATGCATTCAACTGTCATGTACAACTAATTAAAACAAATTTAAAAATTTAAAAAAAAATACAATCCCTTTGTGCTCTCTTTGGTCTTACAAAGAAGTCTGGGTGCAGTGATTCAAGTTTGGAAGTAAAATGACTGGCCTGAGCTTCACCATTGAGCATGAGCAGAAGGGAAAGGACAGGAGAGGAGCCAGGCTCTTCACACAACAGACATCAACAGCAGTCACCAATGGCAAGGTGGCCATTCATCCTCAAAGAAGGAAAACAAGCTTAGTGTCAGTTAACAGTGAGCTGTCTGCCTTCTGCAGAGCATCTAACCTAGAGGCTGACATACAGGAGAAACCCCAGAATAGGAAGATGGGGAGAGAAAAGAAGCCTACTACTTGTAGAACTGGTAGAGTTGGGAAAAGCCATTATTTTATAGTAGATTCAGACTAATAGACCCCCAAATGATTAGGACTAGAAGCCATCTGTTTTTCCGACACCCCATAATTTCATATTTCTTTCAAAGGCAAGAGGAATAGGAAGAGCGAAAACCTAGATCTCAAATTAGTCTGTGGTTGACACAAGGCTTTTCAAAAACAAAGAGCTCACTTACTCGCCAGTTCGATGATTTCCATCCTCTCCCCATCAACATCCTGACCAACAAAACTTAGGTCTTTCTGCTCAAAATGGTTGATCAGGTTCGGGTTCACCTGGAAATACAAGAAAGTGAGTGGTTTCGTTTTTGGGTTTGTTGTTATTGCTACCGGGGATTGAACTCAGGGGCACTCAACCACTGAACCACATCCCCAGCCCTATTTTGTATTTTATTTAGAGACCGAGTTGCTTAGCACCTTGCTTTTGCTGTGGCTGCCTTTAAACTCATGATCTTCCTGCCCCAGCCTCCAAAGCTCCTGGGATTACAGGCGTGCACCACCATATCCAGCTAGGAAAGTGTTTTTGAGCTGCAGTGCAATACAGACATATGAGCTTGTGAAACAATCCTTTATTTGGGTGGATTTTTCCATTTCAGGGATTCTCTAACTAGTACTTAATTTCTCTACTTAATACCCAAAGTCTAATTTTAAACTCATAATGAACTTAAGACATTAAGTCTAAACCCATCACTTCAATGTGAGAGGTCCACCTTCTATCACCCAAAGATGAGATTCAAAAAAGTAGAACTATGACACAGATATTCTGACTTGGAACTTTGAGACTAGCTAGTTACAACCTGTACTTGCTTCTTCCTTGAGTGGTGTGTACTTAACTATCTTTCTCCAAAGAATAAATTTGTTTGAGGATTGAAACTGTTCTTTTCCTTGGACTTGGAACTCTGTCTGTCCCACTTCAGAGGTTGACCTCAATTGGTCTAAACCAAATAAGATAAACCAATCCCTCTTGGTAGATGAATGTTGCAAAAACCCAGGTTTAAGCCAGGTGCAGTTGTGCACTCCTATAATCCCAGCAACTTGGGAGGCTGAGGCAGGAGGATCACAAGTTCAAGGCCAGACTGGGCAACTTAGCAAGACCCTACGCAACTTAACTAATACCTTGTCAGCTTAGTGGTTAAGCATCCCTGGGTTCAATCCGTAGTACCAAAAAAACAAACAAACAAAACCCAGATTTAAACCCACCAAAAGGTTAAAATGGTTACTAATACACAGACTGGTAAAGTAAACTAAGGTAACCCAATCAGACTGAAGAAAAACTGCATGTCACCTCAGTTGCTGCCGGCAGCCATTCTGCAACTGTGAGAGAGACTAGTCAGAGGGCAAAGCAGACACACACAGAAAAGGGTAGGACCAAGAAAACCACAGAGGTGACAGAAGCCCTAACTATTCCATGCCTGGAGTCTACCCAGGCTCTGGACTACCTGTTACTTGAGATAATAAATTTCATTATTGTTTAGACTTATTTGAATGACTAATAGAGATTTCTGTTCATTACAACCAAAAGCATCATAATTGATATATTAATTAATTTTGGTACAGACAATCTGCAGTTCTGGGCACCTGTGCTTCTCATGTGGCAATCTCAACTCCTAACCACTCTTAACCATGTGACACTAAACGTCAAGCTCAATGTAAGCTGCCAAAGAGGTTTCCTAAATCTAGAATCCACCATATAATATGTAGGAACTCATCCCTATCCCAAGAGGCATTTGGTCTCTCTTTGGAGCTACTGCCATTTTCTCAAACCTGGAAAATAAAGGGCAGGGGTTAAGGAAGGGGAATGCAGGGCTTATCTTGCTCTGGAAGATGGTGGTTGGAGTTAACAGAGAACCCTGATATGCCCGTGTGCAGACACTGAAAGCTTTTGCCTCTGGAAAGCCAAGGAGAGAAGAATCTCCTACCCCCACCCACCTCATCTGAAAGCTGTGGGAAATCTGGCATGTCTTCCCTGTCCCTCTGGATGCTATGGGGCTAGAAACTTTCTCCAGAGGGCCTGCTTATAATCACTGGGGTTCCTCACACTAAGCATCCACATTCCATAGTGATTCTGTGTGAAAGGCATACCTCATACCGATGTCTGTGTCTTTCTTCTATAAAAGGAACATTGCCATAAAGTTTCCCTGTAGAGATACAACAGTGAGATTAACATTGGTGTAATCAGCTTCAGAAGCACATTCATTGGCACATGTGTGAAAGAAGCCTCTGTGATCTCTAGCAGAAGCCCCCAAATGATCACACTCCAAGTAGGAATCTAGATTTTCTTCTCTTCTAGTGGAAGATGGTGTTAGCTAATTCAAAACCCTGAAACAGTTCTTTTTTTAATTAATTAATTTATTTTAATTAGGTACATATGACAGCAGGATGCATTTTGATTCACTATAGTACACAATTGCAGCACAACTTTTCATTTCTCTGGTTATACATGATGTGTCTCACCATATGTGCAGTCGTACATGTACCTAGGGTAATGATGTCCATCTCATTCCACCATCTTTCCTGCCCCCATGCCCACTCACCCCCTCCTCAAAACCCTGAAACAGTTATTAAGTAAACCATCACCACTGCATTACATCAGGGAAGCCTGTACAATGCCAGGATACAAGCCCACCATGGAATCCGATAGATCCTAGAGGATCGACCATGGATCCTCCTTTAATACACCTGCCTGAAGGACTGAAAAATCGAGTAACCTCCATACCATTGCTTCTGTGTGCACTCACCACAAGGCCCATCTTATAAAAGAACAAAATGAAAGCAAAGGACTTGCCCCAACCTCCCCCTACCCCATCCTGCCCTTCTGGACAGCACAGTCGATTCTGGAGCAGAGGCCTCGGCACATCTGGCCCAATGCTTTCTCCCCAACACCAGCCACTTCTGTGTTTTCACACAGTACTGGCCACATTAGTCTATACCCCACATTAGAAACATACTTATCCTGTGGCTTAGTGGTAGCACAGCTTGCCTAGCATGTGTGAGGCACTGGGTTTGAGTCTCAGCACCACACATAAATAAAATAAAATAAAGGTCCATCAAATACTAAAAAAAAAAATTTTTAAAAAGAAAGAGATCTTATTTTTAAAAATATATAGTTACCTTTGACCCTAAAATTTGGCTTCTGGGCTGGGGTGCTGCTCAATGGTAGAGCACTTGCCTAAAGTATTTGCAAGGCCCTGAGTTTGATCCCTGGCACCACACACACTCAAAAGCATCTAGCAGAAATAGATAACAATACACCATGTTGTTATGAGTGGTCCTACAGACAGATTTGTTGAGCTCAAGTGCCATACAATGTCCCTAGGCGTGGGGGGAAAATCTCAACAAAATGACATAGTCTTCTCTCCCAGTCTTTTTGGAGACAAAATAAAGTACAGCAGAGATTAACTGCACATAAGCTTAAGGTTCACTTAAGAAGTGTCAGCAAGGCTTTAGAGAAAGACAATTGATAGAAGCCTTAGGACCTCTAAAATGCTCCAAACGCAGGCAGCAAGACACCAATGATGTGCATAAGAGGGTTATCAGAAACAAAAGCACTTTGCCAAACTATATATACCATCTTTTTCTCTAATTTGCTACTGGCTAGCATCTGTCTCATACTTAATATATTTTTAACACATTAATGGCCCTGCCTATCCTCACCCTCATGTTAGTAATCCTAAGCAACTCAACCTAATTTATTGCTCTCTCCTTTTTATTTTTTTATTTTTATTTGGAGGTGGGGGTGCCAGGGATTGACTCCAAAGGTACTTACCACTGAGCCACATCCCAGCCCTTTTTATTCATTTATTTATTTATTTTGGTACCAGGGATTGAACCCAGGGGCATTTAACCACTGAGCCACATCCCCAGCCTCTTTATATTTTATTTTAAGACAGAATCTCACTAAGTTGCTTAGAGCCTCACTAAGTTGCTGAGGCTGGCTTTGAACTTGTGATCCTCCTACTTCAGCCTCCGGAGTTACCTGGAAGACAGGTGTGCACCACCACACCCAATGCTATCTCCTTTTAAGAACTAAAATTTTTCCCAAGAAAAAGCTGTGCAAATTTAGAAGTGGAAACAGTCCAAATGTCCATCATGGATGAATGGATAAACAAATGTGGTATAGCACCAGGAATGATGGCACATGCTGGTAATCCCAGCAGCTTGGGAAGCTGAGGCACGAGGATCACAAGTTCAAAGCCAGCCTTAGCAACTTAGTGAAGAGGCCATGTCTCAAAAATAAAAAAATAATTTAAAATGGACTGGGGATATGGTTCAGTGTAAAGCACCCCTAGGCTCAATCCCCAGTACAAACAAAACAAAAGTTAATATAGTAAATTTTACTATAATTAAAATTTTTTAAAATGCAAGTTATATAGCTTCACTCTTACCCCTGGCTTTTTTCCCTGTTATGTTACAGTACTGCTTTCTGCAGGTGCAATCTGAGTGACATCCCCACCCCCTCTGGGATCCCTTGCCCATTTACCTGCTCTTCATCTTTAACAAAGGCCCCCTGCCCAAGACAGAATCCCCCACTTCCTCTCCCACATTCATGCCCTTGGAGCTGTCACCCACATGTTGTCAATTCCCATCTACACCTTCTGAGCCATCTTTCAACTGGTTCCACATTTCCTGTTTCCAGAGAGGCTGCGGGGAAATAACCCATGTCCTCTACAAAAGACAAAATCACTACCTAATGGGCTTCATTACCAAGTTGCATAAACATCTTGTGACTGCTTCATCCAGTGTCTTAATTCAATTCTCTTTCAGGACTGCCCAAAATAATGCCCTATGCAATTAGGCATTTTAGGAACTTTCTATTCACCTGCAAGAATTTGCTGCTGTGTGTCTAATTCAGAGATCCTAAGAGGCTGCCTTAGGTGCAGGTATTTGGTGTATTTGATTTGCAAAGTGTTGGCAGATGGATATTTTTTTTTCTTTTGGTACCAGGAATTCAATCCAGAGGTGCTTAACCACTGAGTCACAACCCCAGCCCTTTTTTGTACTTTATTTAGAGACAGGGTCTCACTGAGTTGGTTAGCGCCTTGCTAAATTTTTGAGGCTGGCCTTGAACTGAAGATCCTCCTGCCTCAGCCTCCCAAGTCGCTGGAATTACAGGCATGCACCACCACACCTGGCTTAGTATTCTTAACTCATATTTAGCATCTCTTTTCTTAGCTTTTATTAATTCTTCTGATAGGGTATATTGGCAAGAAGGGGAGCCAAGAGATAGGAATAGAGGGAAGAGAGAGAACCTGCAAAACTCAGGGGATCCCTGTGCCCCTCCTCACACCACTCACTTCTCCCCTCCCACGACCTTAGGATAACCTCCCCTCTTTTTTGTGGTCCTGGGTACCAAACCCAGGGCCTCACACATGCTAGGCAAGCACTTATCACTGAGCTACACTCCCAACCTGACTGATCCCCTTAGTGCCAGATTATAAGCAAGTTCGCCCTGAGCTTTGAGAGGATCACAGGTCAATATAAGTCCTTCACATTTACGATCCCATCGGCCACATAAGAGTTGTGCCTTCTCTGTGCCAGACAACAGTATAAGGATTCACACGTTAACACTCACAAGAACCTCAGTGAGGCAGGCACTCTTGTTATCCCATTTTTCAGATGCAGAAACTGAGGTGCAGTAAGAGTAAGTAGCTATGCACAGCCAGTGACCAAGAACTGGGCCCAAGAGACCTCTGGTAAGCAATGTGGCCTCAGGGGCTGAACTCAGAACCACTGTACTAGTTGCCATTGGTGAATTGATTAGGAAGTGCCAATCTGGTCAGGGGGACATAAATATCACCTACCAGTAGGCTCAAAGGAGCTCTGTCCCAGACCCCTGAGCCTCCATATTAACAAATACACTTTAGCAAATGGTTTCCCCAGGAAAAGGCAAGAAGCAAGGAAGAGAGCCACTCTGTGGGGTGGGCCTGGGGTCTGTGCATAGTCTCTCACAGGTCCCACCACACTCGTTCCTAATTCATGTGTCAGCACGGTGACAAATTACCATAGCATGGGCATCTAAACCATTTTGTAAACCACCTCAATAACCAGGCAAAGGTTATGTGTGTGTGTGTGTGAGTGTGTATGTGTGTTTTAACTTTCTAATCACACTAGAAATTCAAAGCAGTTTATCTGTAGCAGTGCTTTGATAAGAGGAAAGAAAGCAAAAGTAACTTTTCTAGCCCCTGAAAATATGTTCTACCTAACCACATTTCTTTCAACTCTTTCAAATGTTAGATTTGACCACTTTGCCTTTCCAGTGCCATGAATGTTCCCCAGACCCTTAACACTGGGATTCATGCAATACCTTCCTAATTGGCTCTTGCCTCTGTTCTTTAAGAAAGAAAACCTTTTTTTTTTCTTATAGTAAAGCAGAATCAACCATTTTAGTCAAGTTCTTCTCCTTAAAATGAGGAAATGCAGAGGAGGTTCCTGAAACGAATGAAGTCTTTTCTTAAAGCATTTGATTGACACATGCCTTGTCCAGATGGCTTTGCTGGTGTCATACTCCTGCTGGTATCACCCTGAAGAACTCTCCTTGTCCCCTTTTGCTAGCTGTCACCTGCCTACGTCAAGTTTCTGCCTGGTCCTGGGTATCTGCCCTGAAGATAAGGACCACCTTCTCAGAACTCTGACAGAAAATCATCAGGTCTTAGTCTCCAGTTGCATAAACTGCACTGGACACCCATGGAGGGGAAAATGGCGTCCACCTCACTTTTAAAGACCCCATAACCCAGCACTGCACTCAAGGAGTGGCCCTCCTATGGCCCCCAGAGCCCTTAGGCCCTCTCTATACCTCTCTGCACCCTTCCACCCCATGACAGTCCCCTATTCTAAAGGTTAAAGAGACCCTAGCATTTGGGTGTTAGTTTGGAGGGCATAAGTATTTGGGAGCTTAAGTTAGGTTGATGTTAACCAGCATCCATACTTAATGCACATAAACCAGATTGTGCAGTATTCAAACCTTTTAACTGAATGGTCCAGAAGCCATGTTCTTTCTAGAACAAATGAAGACTGAGGTCTGTAACATTTCGGAGGCACCATCAAACATATTGTCAAACATGCCCTGAATGAACTCTGAACCTTGCCTAAATTTCTTTGTGCTTTACTATGTTCCCATTTCTTGTGCTCAGTTGAGAGC